TAATGAAGCCGCGCGGGATGGAGCAGGAGGCCGTCAGGAGGGAGCTGGAGTGCAGGAGCCTCACACTCCCAACGACCTCAGCCTGCCGCTGGACCCCAGGGAATCCATAAGGTAGGGCTGGAGGGTGGCTTTATAAATGTAAACTTTGCATGTGTGTGTGTCAGTATTTGTGTGAGTCAGTATGTATGTGTGTGTCTTAGTATGTGTGTGAGTATGTATGTCAGGGTTTCTGTGTGTGTTTTAGTATGTGTGTGAGTATGTATGTCAGGGTTTCTGTGTGTGTCTTAGTATGTGTGTATGTGTGTGAGTTTGTCTGTCAGGGTATTTGTGTGTCAGGGTGTCTGTGTGTGTCAGTAAATCTGTGTGTGTGAGTATGTGTGTCTTACTATGTCTGTGTGTGTCAGTATGTCTGTCAGGGCTTATGTGTGTGTGTCAGTATGTCTGTGCGTGTCAGTTTGTCTGTCTGTGCATGTCAGTTTGTCTGTGTGTGTCAGTATGTCTGTCTTTGCGTGTCAGTATGTCTGTCTGTGCGTTTCAGTTTGTCTGTGAGTGTGCATGCCAGTTTGTCTGTCACTGTGTCAGTATGCCTGTCAATGTGTAAAAATGTAAACGTTGCATGTGTGTGTCAGTATTTGTGTGTGTCTTAGTATGTCTGTGTGTATCTAAGTATGTGTGTGTGAGTATGTCTGTCAGGGTGTCTGTGTGCGTCTGTGTGTGTATCAGTATGTCTGTCAGTGTGTGTCACTATGTCAGTGTGTCATTATGTCTGTCAGTGTGTATATCTGTGTATCTGTATTTAGTATATCTGTTTCTCTATGTGGTCTGTGTGTCTTTGCATGTGTCTCAGGTTTTGTATATGCGTGTCTGTATGTGTGTCAGTGTGAGTATCTGTAAGTTATCATTGTATGTATTTGTGTATCTGTAAGTTGTCAGTGTGTGTACCTGCGTTTATATATCTGTGTGTGTGCATCTGTATGTAGTCAGTGTTTTTATCTGTGTATCTGCATGTGTGTCAGTATATGTATCAGTGTGTCTGAGTATTCATATGTGTCAGTGTTTGTATATTTGTCTCCGTATGTGTGTCAGGTTGTGTATCTGTGTGTCTGTATGTGTTACTGTGTGTATCTGTGTCAGTCTGTATCTGCTTGTGTGTTAGTGTGAGTGTCAGTGTTTATATCTATGTATCTGCATGTGTTTCAGTGTGTATTTGTGTATCACAGTGTGTGTGTGTGGCAGTGTATGTGTACATGTACGTACATCTCATGATTCAAATCGCCAACACTACACACAAGTACACCCCTGCATTCAACCTTCAACACTACATACAAACACAGTCCTGCATTGAAACGTCAACAATACATACAAATACATCTTTGTGTTAAACACCAAAAATATATATAAACACACCCAGCATTAAAACAAAAATACACAGATGCATGCTTGCATTCAAACACCAACACCACCTACAAACACACCCCTACATTTACACAAACACACTCCATACAAAAACATGCTTCCATTCAAACACACAAACACAACTCAGTGCTAAATACAACTCTGCAAGCATGGGAAAATGGTTCTGTTACTGCGTTGGGAAGTGGAGATCGTGATTGCATGCCAGGGAGTTAGGGTCAGGGGGCCCTATCAAATGCTTGCCCCGGGCCCAATCATTATTAAAGACGGCCCTGAAAATAAGAACAATGTTGAATATATAGAGAGATTAATGGAGCTCTTTAGTAAGGAGAATGCATCTGAAGACATCTAAAAGGAATGCCTCTGGTGCACGCTTAAGGTGGTAATCAGAGGGTATTGGATCAAGCTCGCTAGTCAACAAAAGACAAATCGCGATAGCAATCTGACAGATTTATATATTGAATTCTATAATCTGGCTAAAGCCAATAAAAGCAGCTTCTCAGAGGAAAGAGCTCTATCCATAAAGATATGTCAGGAAAAGATAAATAAACTAATAAGTATCAGAATTTAAAGGAATTTAAAGAAACTTAACACGAGATATTACTATAAGGGGAACAGAGTAGATGAAATGTTATCTCAGAAACTAAAAAACCGGGAGACAGATCAAAAGATCCTCAAACTTAAAGAGGGCGACTGTAACATATTTAAACATGAGGATATAGCAGATAAATTTAGATATTTTTATATAAAGCTTTATAATTTGAATGTTATCAAAGCTAGAGAGATATTTGAAAGATTCGAATTTAAACAAAATTTCTGCCTCCCAGAGGGATCATCTAAATAAAAGGATTACTGAAAAGGAAGTAGATACGATAATTAATAAATTGGAAAATAGTAAAGCCCTGGGTCCAGATGGGTATCCTAACCTCTTTTATAAGGTTTTTAAGAAATAGCTAATTCCGTTAATAACAGATATGTTCAATGAAATAGCGGCCAAAGGGTCTGCTTCGCAAGATTTATTAAGAGCACATATAATTCCAATACTGAAGCAGGATAAAGCCCCCATGGAGGTAGCTAATTACAGGCCTATTTCATTGGTAAATGTAGACGTTAAAATTTATGCAGCCATTCTGGCTGAAAGGTTGATGGAAATTCTGCCGACACTGATCCACCAGGATCAGATAGGATTCATGATCGGAAGACAGTTTAGCAATAATTCCTGACGAGTATTGGATATACTGGATTGGGCTCGGGTCGGGGGAACTCCCCTCCTGACCCTGTCGATCGATGCTTAGAAAGCCTTCGACAGGGTGGGATGGGGGTTCCTCTGATCCACTTTGGTACAGTTTGGCTTTGATGGATGGTTTTTGGAAGCAGTGGGAGCAATTTATTCGAATCCCACTGCAAGGATTGTGGGGAGAGATCTATGTTCAGAATGGTTTGGGATTTCTAACGGAACAAGGCAGGGGTGCCCCTTGTCCCCGCTGCTGTGGGTTCTATCTATTGAACCCCTTGCTAATAATATTAGGAATAATAGTATGATTATGGGGGTGGGGCAGCAGCAGGATAAATGGAAAATATGTCTCTATGCGGATGACATTTTGATATCAATTACGGATCCCCTTGTCTCCCTGCCATTTTTTATGAAAGAATTAGAAAATTACAGTTTAGTTTCCAACTACAGACTAAACATGAATAAAGCAACCGTATTAGCGACTAATTTACATAGAGATATGTTAATAGCCTTGAAGAGTGAATATGATTTTAAATGGACTACAAAGGAATTTCAATATCTGGGACTAGTTATTACGGCAGATCCTAGGAGAGCCATGGAAATAAACTTCTTGAAATTGCAAAAAACAGACTAATATCTTATTAAAGGACATGGGAACCATACAAGTTATCTTGGTAGGGTAGAATTAATACCATAAAAGCTTATATAATCCCAAAATGGAACTATTTGTTCCGGATACTCCCCCTATCGATTTCTTCATATTGGCTCAATATGGTTCAAAGTAGCATCACAAGCTTTATCTGGAGAGGCAAAAGACCCAGAATTAATACGCACTCATTGTCTAAGAAAGGATCTCAAGGGGGGCTGGGTTACCCTCTAATTGTTCAGATTTATCAGGCCAATATGGTGGTGCATGCTAGCAAACTACAGATAAAAGAAAACCAGTTGCAAACATGGTTTAAAATAGAAGCCCATAGAGTTGATATAGACAACTTAGATGCTCTTTTATGGGGCGATGTGAGGAATAATAATGCCCTTCTCAATTTTGAAGAGAATTCCTCTTTGATTTTAACACAAATTCTTAAGGAATGGAATTCTATAAAAAAATTCTTAATATCAATAAAATTGATAAAACTAGCATGGAATCTTTAGAATTAATGATGACAGATATAAAGTTGAAAAATTGGTATACAAATTCAAGATATATAATAAAGGATCTGTTTGGAAAATATCAAATTAAAAGTTTTGAGGATCTAAGGAATATGACTGATTTACCGGCCAGAGAAGTATTCAATTACCTATGGTTAAAAAGCTTTCTTAGAGAATATAAGCTAGGATTGGGAGGAACCCAAGAGAAATTGTTCTCAAAGCTATTCTCAGGCTCAGAAGTAAAGAAGGCCATAACAGTGGCGGGTGAAAAAATAAGATTGAAGGAGGAGCCGGATATACCTAAAGCCCTTGGTAAATGGGAAAAAGATTTATCAATTAATATAGCTTATAGTGAGTGGTGTAATGCTTTTGTGGTCCTTAAAAAATATATTCATTCGTGCGCCTCTATGCATGACCATGAATACGGGGATAGGAGGGAGAGATCACAAAAACCGAACCACAGACCAGAAGAGAAAAGGTCCCCGGAAGACCTTGGAGACGTTGAATTCCGAATAGAATAGGAATCAAAAACAGGTCGACTAGGATGCCCTGTGCATCGCTACAATTAGGACAAGAAAACATGTAAAAGGGACGTACCCCGCTTGCCCCCCCCAATCCCCTTCTTTACTTCTGTGCTTCCCTTCCCCCCCTCACCTCCCCCAGCACATGAAAGGTCGCTCACCAAAACGGTCACTGTTGCGTAAAGAATATAACATGAGACCGAACAGGTTGAACTGACACACAGAGCAGGGGGAAATAAGGATATATGGTGAATGAACGAACCAAAGATGTGATATCCGCACAGATTGTACTGATGAGAGGCCTTTGCTAATGTGTCAACAACTTCCCCACCCTTCTTTTCTTCTGTACCCCAAAATCAATAAAAATTGTCAAATTGGAAAAAAAATATATTCATTCCCTGAACATTTTAGAAACTTTTATCAAAATCCTGTATAGATGGTACATGGTCCCATCATGATTGGCAAAAAATTCCCAGACAAATCCACCAAATTGCTGGCGTTGTGTTAAAGTCGTGACTTAAATATGAATATTAATTTAATAATTAATATAAAATAATTAAGCAACAAATAACAACATTAATAGAGTTCGGTATTATGGTCGAATATATAATAGGAAATACACAAAACATTGTAGTATTAAATGTATATTTAATATAATTATAATAACAATTAAACAAATGCTAGCAGAATGTCAATTTACCACAATAATTACACAATACAAAACTACAACATTACTTACAAAAGGCTATAACAGTTGCTAGCTGTTATAATAGATTACTTACAAGGCTCCAGCCTGTTTGGCTGGAGCTATACACACAGCTACATGTTCAATCAATGCAAGCAAAGGAAAAAGGAGGCTCAATTCCTCCTACTATTTGGTTTTATCCAGTAAGTAGGCTGGCCTGTGATGTCACTGCCAGAAGCATGAGTTAGCACACTGACCCCTAGTGGTGCCTCTAAAGCATTAAGCTCATTATGCTTTACTGACATCTAGTGGTGCGTCTAAAGCATTAAGCTCATTATGCTTTTTTATGACAAAAAGTCATTAATTAATAAATACCATTACAAACCACCCTTTGACTTATGTCATAAAACAAACATTATAAACCCGTACATCTTGAATCTACCCTATTTTAACAGTACCTGCCCTACAACAAAACCCACCTTTTGAAGAATGATACCCATTTACCCGTAAAGTTATGACACTTTATTGCTTATTCAATTTTTATTTTTATTTTTTGAGCACATGCATCACCAGTTGGGAAACCTTGGCCTAAAATAAGCACATACCCACCCTTATAATAACCACTGAGCACATGCATTAGCAGTTGGGAAACCTTGGCCTTAAATAGGCAAATACCCACCCTTGTAATAATAGACAACTCAAACCATGTTTTATTAGATTAACCAATGATATTGTGTTCATGTGAGGATGTGTTTTGGAGCTTAATATAGTATTAGACACCACAAACTCATAACACCTATGAATCATGGCACAGACCGACTCGATTTCTGTAGCCTCTGGCTGGTCTGTGTGCCTGGAATTTTCACAAACATTAGTCCTGGAAACTGGATACTCTATTCTTCGACAGTCTCATAGAACATACGCATGGAGACAGGGATGAATGAAACAGTTCATGTGATCAAGGACTTTTGTGTGTTTGTGGTCACATTGTTTTGTTTTTTCTTTCTTTATACCATTAACCACCTTGACGTAACAGTGTCCTGCTCCTGATGCATTTGTTCCGACTCTCACCACTCTTAGCTGCAATATTTTTTCTCCTTACAGCAACAGTTGATCATAGTGTCCAGTGCTTCTTCTTCTTCTTCTGCTTAAAATATCCTTGCTTGAAAGTTCTTGAATGAAAACACAGGCAATGACGAACACAAACATAAATAATAACTGTGCCAATCATCACAAGTACCATTTGATTGTGGTGTCTTAACCATATTTTTTCCTATGGCGTTTGGATAAATACCTACACACCTCTCTTCACATCCAGCACACTCCTGATTCACAGATAAACACAATATCACTGCTGTATCTACCAATTTAACCCAAACACTCGTTATTACTGCTGCATTTACCAATTTAATCTAAACACTCGTTATCACTGCTGTATTTAACCAATTTAATCTAAACATTAACCAAAACAATTACATTCCTATTTACCACCCTTCTATTTAAACATGGATAGATAACCCAAAATGCCTACTTTCTCTTATCCCTCTTATCATTCTTCCGTTTTTTTTTTTTAACTGCAACCACTCATGCACTTTACACAGACACAAATCAAGCACCTACTGGACAATGGGGTTCCCTCGTTAGAGCCCTCCCACCCCAGTTTGGTTTACACAAAAATACCCCCTGGTCCCTATGGGTCAATTCCCCCCTTTCCCAGGCAAGCATACATACATACATACAACAATAATACATAAGGGTTTCAATTGCAATACAATCACTAGAAATAAGAGAATAGTATGCACAAAATCATAGCATAGACATGTTAAATAGACAATAAAATAAAACATTCAATAGCTCATCAAAGGTCAACATTTAAACACTGGTCTCCATCTGATATTCTATCTGTGTTCCAATGTCCACCTCTGGTTTCTGCTACATCTGAAAAGGTTAGGAAACAGATCAGGATTACTTTCCTAGTCACTTATAGCGTATACTGCAAATATTTTACTTAGAATATATATATATATTCACACAGACATGTAAACACATTCCTTCAGCTTTTCATTTTATAAACAATTTGTTCAACAAGGTAACTTTCTTAATTTTCTACTCGGCTCTTAAAATAAACAATCAGCTAATAGCTGCTTTCTGCATCTTCCTTGCAATTCAGGAGTACACAACACTAAAAGTCCAATACTCAGTACCCCCTAGCCTAAATTCCCCACCCGCTACTGTAACTAAGTTTACAGCCCACGTTATGGCAGTTCACCCGCTAGGCAGATATGCTCAGTACCCCCTAGTTTAAGTTCCCCACCCGCTACTGTAACTAAGTTTACAGCCCACGTTATGGCAGTTCACCCGCTAGGCAGATATGCTCAGTACCCCCTAGCCTAAGTTCCCCACCCGCTACTGTAACTAAGTTTACAGCCCACGTTATGGCAGTTCACCCGCTAGGCAGATATGCTCAGTACCCCCTAGCCTAAGTTCCCCACCCGCTACTGTAACTAAGTTTACAGCCCACGTTATGGCAGTTCACCCGCTAGGCAGATACACAATACACCCACGTATTACTTATTTTATATTTCCTGGTCTCTCAGGGATATACAATAGCTAATCCCCTTACCAGGGCAATATAAAACTGGCACAAACTTTTAAGCAATACAGGATTTCAAATGGACTTATGAGTAACACATTTCTAGCCAACTTAAACATGGTTAATAACTTTCCACCCTTTGGTTAAATTATAGAGGAGTGAACCACAACACCTCTTCCGCCTCTGAAAGGATATAGGTCAATATGTCTCAAAGTTCAACACTTCTGACAGCTATGAGTGACTCCCTATTAATTTCTAGCCTTTCCACGGACATGCTTGCACCTCGCGGCTAAGGGCCTGCACAACTAACCACCCTGCGATGGCAGTGGCTTTCCGCATGGGGGTGACCGCCCCCGCAAAATTATAGAGGAGCAAACATACAGCAGCCTCTTTTCCGGCTCGATTAAAGGTTCTGGGCCAATATGTCTGCAATTTAACCAGTACACTCACGTATCACTTATTGTATATTTCCTGGTCTCTCAGGAATTTCTATTAAATAGCGTATCCCCTTCCCAGGGCAATATACAACAAAAACTAGTCACCAAGGGTCTCTATGGTCATGATAGGCCGCCCTACCACTAGTGTAATAGGCCCTTTTTTTAAATATATTTCCTGGTCTCTCAGAGATTTTGCCTATCCCTTTCCCAGAGAAATATATATAAACAATTACAAATAAGTTACAAAACGCTACTTATAAGTAATACAGGGTTTCAAAATAATACAGGATAGAACTGCACAACAACTATTGGGTATGCTCCCCCTTATCCGGACACGTTTAAATACCCCCTAGCTCAGGTTCCCCACCCGCTACTGTAACTAAAATCACAGCCCACGTTATGGAGGTTCACCCGCTAGGCAGATACACCCTAATTCAAAGCATGGAAATATTAAAATCAGTTATAGATGGCTTCTAAAATAATATAAATCTTAATCTGGGCCTATACACTTACTTTGTTAAAAATGCTAACTTGTTAAAATATTCAGACTAAATAGGACAAAGGAATTATTTTACCATTTTTTCAGTTCATTTGTTACCAGTTCCTGCATATGTCCAGTAATTCCTTAGTCCTGGATAATAAAGCTGAAAAACACTCCACAAATTGATTAGTTTAGGCAATTACATTTACAAAACAATGCAGTTTATTTTTTCTCATACAGGCAAGACTACCCACCCCCAACAAGGACAAATTCTCCCCAGCTGTAGCTGAAAAGCATGGTCACACAGCTGTTAAAAAGGTGGTCTCTCCTTCATGAGTCAAAATCATATATATATTTATACTAATATTCTGTGTAAATTCTTGATATAATTTAAAAAGTTCAAATAAGTGGATGATAGTGACAGTACTTGGTATATTTCTCTTTCAGGTTCCGGTAAGTATTTGGAGGTAGAAAGCCCAATAAGAGACTGAATCTTCTAATCTTTAGAGGAGTCTTGATTCAGAGATGAACATGGAAAATATAAGCAACAAAGACGATCCAATAGTGTAGACTGTCTGTGATAAATAATAATAATAATAGGTAGGTAGTACACTCACCTATCTTAGAGCATGAACTTGCTCTAGTATGTTGGGCATTCAGTGGCGTTTATCCCCCACTGGTAGGATATAGGTGAAGGTAATTCCTCGGTAATAAAAAGGAGATAAAAGCAGAATATAGTGCTCACTGAATCAAAATGAAATAAAGTGAAATAAAAGGAATAAAAATACTCACATTCGAATGAGCAGGATAAACTGCTCAGTATATTCGCATAGGTGGTACAATCCCCACCAAGGATTCTTGGTCGTGGGTAGATTCCAAGTTGGTGAATGACCAGGTGACAGGAAATATTTTTAAAACAAAATTTTTAAAAATAAGATAAAAAGGTATATGGCAAAATTGATGTAAAAAAGCCACTATTCCTTTATTAGTACAATAAAAAAATATATAAAATAGCCAAAACGCGTTTCGCCACACAGGGCTTTATCAACTGGCAATAAATTATTGCCTTATTAGTACAATTTATTAAGCTCAATTTATTAAGCTCATTATGCTTTTTTATGACAAAAAGTCATTAATTAATAAATACCATTACACGTTGTTTCCACATAGATAAGTCCATGTTACATATATGGTGGACTTGTCCCAGGATCAAAGCATTGTGGAGCTTGGCATTTAACCTTGTATACTATCTAGGCGAAATAGGCCATGAACAAAAACCAGAGGTAACCCTGTTGCATATATTAGAGTGTGACTCGAATGTAAGATCAGAATTGGTGATTTCTCATTGCTTTTTAATGGCTACTAAAATACTTATTGCGAGGCTATGGAAAAATACTGAGATACCTACTAGGGATTACCTCATAGCTCAAGTATTATTACAGTTAGAGGGAAAATGGCCTTTGATTTATGAATTTAATCTCTAATGATAGAGTAAAGGTACAATATCTGATCCTGACTGAGAAGATCAAAGATTGGTAAAACTTGAAGGACCAATTTGCATCTATGAAGTAATGGGGGTTTGTGGAGGCAGGAGGGTTCGATCTATATGATGAGCCATAATGGGGGAGTGAACCGTGTGCATTTAATATTTGATGACATCTTTAGGAGGTTTATAGTTAAGGTTAAACTAAGAAGGTGGAGTGCAATCTGTCCACAGGAAATTTGATTAGGCTGAAGAGACCAATATTGTGTGTCTGGGTAAGAGTGACTGGGTTACAAACTTCTGTATTAAGAGTGTAATAGAATAGATCTATTGTATAGGAGCTCTATGCAAATTGTCTTTTGAAGTTTGTTATCTCTGTGAGGATGTTGTTTGTTATGGGAGGGATGTGTTGATCCACTCCCATATCTTATCTGTTTGTTTGTTTGTTTTTTTCTATTTGTTTTTGTGTTTGTCTTTTATATGAAATTCAATAAAGAATAAGGATTAAAAAAACAAATGCCAACCACCCAGATGATCACTTAGAATGTTAGGGTGTTCGTGGTTTTTAGAGGTGTTAATAAGGATGGTGAGGTTAACAGGCGCCACAGTCCAGGTCTGGGTGGTTGGTCGTTCGGTAGATTTTTTGTTATTCGCCAATGGTAAAATAAAACAGGCTTTATTCCATTCAAAATGGTTAGACGAACAGACAA